TTGATATAATTTTCAGGGCATTTGGTCTGGGCATTGCCACAAACAATAATCTCCCAACAGATGCTTTTTTTTAATGCCACGTGGAGTGTTCCTTACCAATCTGACACATAACTTGTCATAGTTTTGGACAAAAATGTCTACCAAGGATGCAAGCTCAGCTTGATTTAACATTCTGCTTGTGCATTGGGCTCACAGTGGGATCCATTTTGGACTAAATTTGTGGCCGCAAAAGAGCGAGTAAGTACGTTTTGACACTACAAATGTCACGAGTTGAATAGTTTACACTGTGCAATCCTCAATCCTCCACTTGTGTCTTGGAGAGCTGAGAGGGACTTGCATTCAAACCAGCCAGATGCAAATTTCAGGCACATGATTACGCTCAGAATAGCCTGCAGAACTGAAAGTATATTGCAGAAATGAAGGACACTAATTTTTTTTACTTGTAAACCTAAATTTATTGCATATTAACCGCATGCACGTGTGACAGAGAAACCACAGAACTCAAACATTTCTTGCAAATTGCAAATTTACTAACAAACCTGAACCAAGGATGTAAAGTCTACACTGTTATACGTAATTCACCTGTTATATGTAATATTTTTTGGTTCCTTTTCTAACCAGGAATGGTGGATGGACACCATGGACATCATGGTCTCTTTGTAGCACCAGTTGTGGAATAGGATTTCAAGTCCGCCAACGTTCTTGTAGTAATCCTACACCTAAACATGGTGGCCGTGTATGTGTTGGACAAAACCGCGAGGAACGGTGAGATTTAAATATTTGTTTATAATTTATTATAGAAGAATAATAAATTGTACTTTACACATTTGTTTATTTTGATTTTAAAACTGATTTTTTTCAAATAACCTCTTAGAGTGTTACATGCATTATATTATACACAATTTACATTTTATATGATAACATATTATCTGAAATTAAAATGGCTATTTTATATGAGTGTTGGAGGATATACTTGTAGGTTTAGAGGTCTGACAAGATAAGACAAAAAGCTACACATAGTAGAGAGAAAAGGCTTTAGACAAATGGAAAGAGGGAAAACTAAGAAAGGTAAAGAAGGGGAAAAAAAGACTGAACATGGGTTTGCAGATTTCACAACAATCCATGATATAAATGAAACATTGTGCATGGCACTGTAATGTTAGACTTTGTATATTATGCATATTATCTCCACAGTGTTTGTCACCTCTCTAGTAAAAATAAACGCATCATTTAAAAAGATGTGACCCCAGTAAAACTGAATAGGGGCTAGATGAGTGTTCCTTTAATCTTTACCCAATTGTTGGATTTTGGATAGTTGTTTAGTAGAGGCCATAGGTCCCAGTCCTCTGGCTGTATATATGTTAAGTGGACTAGAGTGGACTAGAGAATTCCCAATTATTCACCCATGAAAAGGAAACTGCGGAGGTCGATAACTCCTAAATATATGTTGAGGGGAAGGAAATTCAAGGTCTACTGATCCACTAGGACAGGCATAGGCAACCTTCGGCACTGCAGATGTTTTGGACTACACCTCCCATGATGCTTTGCCAGCATTATGTGTCTAAGAGCATTATGGGAGATGTAGTCCACAACATATGGAGTGCCGAAGGTTGCCCATCCCTGCACTAAGGAGTGCCTCAGAACTCATTCCAAAGACCAGAAGATACCCAATTCCCTGGCTCTGAAAGTGATAAAAAATCTATACAGAGGACGGAAGCCTGTGTAGTCAAGTATGTGGAGAGCTTGGGGTATTGCCCCTTAAATGTTGTCTTCAGTTTAAGAGATGTGAATACCAATGAACCCTAATATGAGTTGAAGAGCTAACTGTGGCTGAAGATATAGTAGACAAATGATGGGTGGGAGAACATGTATCTTCAATGCTGCAATTCTTCCCATACAAGACGCTAAGATCACTTTGGATAATTTGGAGTAAAGGGAGGTCAGTTAGCAGTGGGTAGAGAAGTAGTATTAGAACACCTAGGTATTTAATTTGGGTCTCAAACCAGTGAAATATTTTTGGAGGTAGGCGACATCTTTTGATGGCACATTAAAAATGTCTGATTCTGAAAAATTTATTTTGATAAGCACGTTTTGTGCTAAGCCTTTGTGTGCTTTGTGTTGTGTGCACTTCCAATTTTTTTTCATAATATTTGAAAATATACTAAAGTTTCATTTTGTCACAGTAAATTGTTACTTGTTTCCCATGTTATTCTCTCAAGTAACCTTATCAGTACAATATACATAGCAGAAAAGCAGAGAATATGTTTCCCTGACAGGATTTTTGTCAAGCATTCTATGAAATGCAATGTCTAGAACATACAGAATTTCAATATCAAGATTTAAGAAACTGTTTCATGTAATTCATCTGAGGGAAATATTTGCTGTAACAGATTCAGAGGTAGCTAAATAAACATATATTGCTCTAGCACTACATTACACATGTTGGTTATTGATCCATCTCTTTCTCTAGGTCACATTTTACATATTTATAATTGTTAAAAAGTCTAATTTTAAGGTTTCATCAAAGTGCTATTACACAGCACTTTGCCAAGATTGATGATACTTTCAAAGGACTACTTTCTATGCAATACTGTCTCCACATATTACCAGTTAATGTTGCATACCATTTAATTATTTAACATATAAGCAATTATTAACATCTAATATTTCATGATAAATTTCTTGACATGGTTGATTTAGAGTAAGTGCATTTAAAGAGAGACTGTCACTGACCAGGATTTGTAATATTATATTTGCTTATCCCTAAAGCATCTTACGAACAAAAGGAGAAGACAGGTTATAGGAGATTTTAATGTTTTCATTAAATGTCAAAGCAGATAAAGGTTTAAATTCTGGACAAGCTGTCAGCATGAGTTTGTTTATAGATTAATTATTTGTCATTTTCTTTATCTGCCAAATATTATTGCTTATTAACCATTTTACATTAAGAATTATTGAGAAAAAATAAATTGCTAATTGTAATGTACATAGTATATCGATCTAGGTTTATATATATATATTTATATATATATATATATATCGTTACAATAAATAGAATATATTAATATTTTTAAACCACACTCTTTACGTTTGCAGATATTGCAATGAACATTTAACATGCCCGCCACATGTGTTTTGGTCAAGCTGGGGTCCATGGGAACGCTGTACTGCTCAGTGTGGAGGAGGGGTTCAGGCGCGCAGAAGAACCTGTGAAAATGGATTTGATTGTCCAGGATGTGGTGTGGTAAGCATATTTACCATGTAGTTTATTTTTTAACATGACTATGAATTTCATCTCTTCAAGCTTAATTACCAGATGTATTCTCTTTTATTTCTATAAACGATTACTCATTGAGACTTATACACTTATATATATATTAGATGTTCTTGAAAATGTTACTTAAAATATGTAATGCATAGACAGGCATGCTAGCGGTGATCGAATTAGCCCGCCATAGGAGAGTGACCTAACAACTCACAACCCTCTCGTAAAGGTGGCCTCTGTCTACACAGACGGGCATACCACATGTGTCTCCAATGAGGTGATTAGTTCACTCAGCACGCCACCACAGGAGGACCCACATACAGGGGTAACAAGTAACAACCCTCCATACACAGCAGACGAGCAGGGCCGTGACAACAACCCGCACTACGCAATGTATAAACGATATGTAATCAAATGGAAACACAATCAGTATTACACACTGTAAGCAAGTAGAAATGTCGAATATTGTACGAACGCTGTTAAGTGATATGCTCAACTGTAATATCAAAGACAACGGAATCTGAATGCACCCCCCTGATATCCCCCCCCTTTTTCCTTTCTGTACCCCTCTGAACCTCTGTTTTCCAACAAAATAAAAACTGTCAAATTGAAAAAAAAAAATATGTAATGCATGTAACCGCATTTCTGTAACAATTTAATTGCTTAGTTTGTAAAGCAAAAGGAGATTAACTAAATGGTTACTCCAATCACCATTAACCCTTCAGTGATTTGAAAGTGGTGCTTGGAGTCTGTATGTGCAGCGTTCTACCATAAAATACTACATATACAGAAAGATAGAGAACTCTGTTGCTAAACGTGTAACTCTACCTCTGGTAGTATCATAAGCAGCTTAGAACAAGATATCCTGGCTGCTAATGTCAGTTTGGTTCAAAAAGGGATATTTTATCAGACCACATGGCATGCTGGCAATAGCTGACCAATAGAAACACAGCTGGGTCTTGCCGCCTCAGCTGGGTCTTGCTCACTACTCCCCCACCATTGCAATGAGGAATCAATGTCAAGGAAAATCACTGCAGGGAGGGGAATTACAGGTGAGTTTTCCCTTTATTTATTTTTTACAGGGGGATCATTCCAGCAAGTGTTACAAAAAACAGATTTTTTTGGTAGGTGTTACCCTTTAAGGATGGCAATGACAAATAATCATTACTACCTATGACTTTCACTAGTCTCAGAGATATATTTTCTACAATAGATGTATTAAGTTATATTGCATTATATGTGGCTGTGCCTGAGAGACATTGATCAATAATTTCTAAACAGTAATAGCATGATGTTTTATGATACACACGTCTTGGCATGTAAGTTTTAAAAAGCAGCATTATATTTGATCGTTCCAAGTCTCAGTAACACAAGCCTGTGTTTTGGCATGTACTGAGGTGTGGAGGCATGCTATATAACATGTTTGGTTTTCTTCTATAAGTGGCAATGCACTTGAATGCCTGAATACATTGATCAGTACCCTTTAAATGCAACATAATCTTTCCCCAATGCCAGTGATTTAAATTTAAAATCAATTGCCATATTCATCTTCCTTATGGTACACAATGCTATTTTTAGATAGAAACACCCACGGCACTTTAAATGTCTTGGATGTTTTTATATGATAATTAGTGATGTCCCGAACTGTTCGCCGAACGGTTCGCGAATGGTTTGCCACGAATGGTTCGCCGCGGACTCATCATTGAGTAAACTTTGACCCTGTACCTCACAGTCAGCAGACACATTCCAGCCAATCAGCAGCAGACCCTCCCTCCCAGACCCTCTCACCTCCTGGACAGCATCCATTGTGAAGCTGCATTCTTAGTAAACTGTCCAGGAGGTGGGAGGATCTGGGAGAGAGGGTCTGCTGCTGATTGGCTGGAATGTGTCTGCTGACTGTGAGGTACAGGGTCAAAGTTTACTCAATGATGAGTCCGCTGCGAACCGTTCGTGGCGAACCGTTCGGCGAACAGTTCGGGACATCACTAATGATAATACATTTTAAAATTTTACAATTAACACGTTGTGTGAAAAAATATTATTGCTATAAATATGAACTAATTACTTTGCCTCTAAATTCCCCATCTTATTATCAGGCAACCGTTACTATTTCTGAGATCTGCCTGAAAATAATGGATATTCTTAAGCAAAAAATAATTGTCAACATATTTTGTCTGAATCATTCTCTTTGTTTCGGATGCTTTCTGTATGATATCTTTAAAATAAATATATATATTTATTTTTTTTCAATCCAGTTCTAACTACATTGTAACTGCTACGTTTGTCATCTAAATATAGTACATGTATATAATGGCATTAACAGTGCAATCACAGCACATCATGGTATCTGAGTGTTTGATATATGCACTAGACAACCTAATAAACTTTATAATACACCCACATACAGAAGTAATTAATTTGTTATTATTTACACAGTTGTGTAACTTTTAATTCAGCTAACTGATCTGTATGTTGTCTGAATGTTGTCTTTTTTTCGAAATGCTAATTATTTTCTTCCATTTTAGCAATCAGGATGCACATTTTTTTATACTGAATTATACTAAAATGTCAAGCTAAAATTGCAAGTTGGAATAATTCTTCAACTCAGAGAAGTCACCATTATTTTATTTATTTATTTATTTTAAAGCACAGTTCGTAGTGAGTTGTTTATTAACAATTCAAATTGCGTAATTGCTAAAATTGCTAAATTAGAAAAATCATCTAATCAGCTATAGGCACAGTTTGACTACTTCAGTCAATTTTTTTAGTTTGGTTTTTATTGAAAAAAAAAACTGAATCACCTTCTCTTGGATAATATATATTGATCAGCTCAAGTTTTAAAAATTATACATAGAAACTAAAAAAAGTAGATTTTTTTCACATATACAGCCCACACAGCTCATGTACATCCCACACAATATTCCCTAATTGATGCCTAATGTCATTAACTCTCTGTGTGCCGTTAGTGGGTCTTTAAGCCCATCCTGCTGTAATGTTATGTACATTGAACATTTGTAAAATAAAAATTGGCATTTTTTTTTTTTTTGGACGAGTGTTTGTCACATACCCACTCACTTGTGTAAAAGTCTGAGTTTAGCTGCTTGCTCTTCACTTCCCTCTGAAACATATTGTAGATACCAACACATTTTTGTGGTACTAGACATACTAGTTCATGTTCAACACTGCCCAGATATTCTTTAAGAATAATATAATGTTTCAGCTGAAGATACACAGAAATGATCAATTTCTACAGAATAAAATGTATTGTTTTTGCCTTTCTTGGTAACAGGAATTAGATGGTTTAACACACAAAGATTATACAGACATCTATTTAGGATATGGAACTAAGTAACAAAGGGCTTAGCACTTTGGTGATAACATGAACTCCACTAAAAATAACATAGTAAAACAATGCTAATCTTTACAAAGTAAACAAAAAACCTTTTTCATGTCACTTTGAAAATATGTAACAGTAACAATGCAAGACACTGAAAACAATAATGCAAACAAAATCAGAAATAATTAGTGTAGCGGAATGGATGCTCTAGCTACACTTTTATTTGCTTTTGTTTGGCTGTCAGTACACCCCCCCATTAATTTACCAAACCAGCTATGTGTGGGTCCCCTTTTGTGTTTTGGTCACCCTGTGCCCATTTATGGTGTGTTGAATGTATTGCTTGTCTATGCCTCTCCCCCTCCCCTTTTTTCCTATCCTATTGTTTCCCTAGCAGGGCATTGTCCCAGGGACACTGCCAGACCAGTTTAAACTAGCTGCTTTGTCCCTCCTCAATCTCCCATCTTTGCTATTGTCTGACCCCACCATTCCTTATACTATAGTATTCTATGCATCATTGTATGTAAATGAGGCTGTTGGGGGCTTAATTGACTCCTAAAAATATGTTTCGTCTAGTTACTGGGGGAATGGATGCCTGTATGCTTTAATGGTTCTAGAGTTGCTGAAGGAAGGAATTAGCGGGGGTAACCAGTCATGTTACCAATGGTCGGCTACAATTAGTGGCAACCAGTGGGATGGTACTTCCCAGCCAAACAGAACCAGAGTTGGTGAGCCGAACGAACAGCCAAACCAATCCATGAACTACATGAATTTAAAAAGGAAACCACTTAAGGAGTTTCTGGAAGCACGTGGACAAGTAGCCAGCAACCGATCTGAAGAAGCCTTGATCACAGCTCTCATGGAGGACGACAGAGTGCACAATGGGGCTCCTGCACCCATGGATCCGGAGACAGAGCTGCAAAACGAGATGCGGATTCGCCTCGCTATTATGGAGGGAATCCATCCGAAGAGATCATGGCCCGAACCATTTCAGAGGTACAAGCACTCCTGTAGGCGAAAGGAGATTGAGCGAACCAACTACAAGTAGCCAAGCGTCGGGCAGTAGAGGTATCCCCACCGGTGCGGTAGTTCCCGAACACAAACCCAAAGTCCCCTACAAGTAATTTAAAACATTTGCTAAAACAGAAGAAGATATTGATATGTTTCTGCAGGATTTTGAACGGCTCTGTCTGTTACGTGATATTGCGGTCACAGACTGGGTCCCCCTCCTAGCAGGAGAATTAACAGGAAGAGCTGCAGATGCCTACCGAGCCATGCCAGATGCTGAATTGAGAAACTACGCTAGGGTAGAACAAGTTCTGCTGGCCGATATGCAATTACACCAGAGGCATATCGCAGAAAATTCAGCGAATTAAAGAAAAATGACAAAGATTCCAATGGGCTTGCCGTTTCACCAGAGCAGCCCACAACTGGATGCAGGCTTAAAAGGCAAAGACCCCAGAGGAGATACAATAAGTCTTTCTGCTGAGCAGTTTTACAATGGCTTCCCCTCAGAAGTTCAAGAATGGGTAAGGGACAGATGACCGCTAACCCTAACCGAAGCAGCTCAGCGGGCAGATGAGTATTTGGATGCCCGGAGACCCCAGCCACCCAGTAGCCGCCCAATGTCCAGACCCAACCCAGGGCTGCCAGTACAGCAACAAGGAGGGCACATCCCCAACCCACAAGCACCCTGACACTCCGCACACAGCAAAATACAGTGCTATTGGTGCAAACGATACGGGAACTACCAGAGAAACTGTGTCCAGTGAAGGAGCCAAGATACGTGGATTCGAACACCTTCCCCAGTGCTAAGTTAAATGTCATATAGCAGATCTAAAAACCTTCATTGCATTGGCCAACTCACCTTAGTGAAGTGATTAGATGGTTTGCCTAATCATGGCTGTATTAAATAAATGACTGACAATTTTCACTTATATTTCAAATTCCCTTTGAATTTTTAATTTAGTGAATAACTCTATCAATGCTGATACAAGATGTTGCAAAACATCTGTTAAAAAAAAGTTTGATGCAAAACATCATAGGTAATCATGCTACAGCTTCAATATTTTTATTTACTGTTCTATTATGCATTTTATGAACATGCACCAGGTGTAACTCACTAGGTCTGAATTCTCACTTTCAAATGGCTAGTTGGAAAAATATTTCTCTTTGCTTCTGTACTAATGTCCTCCTTTTATAGTAATTAACAAGTTATACAGAATATTTGCATATCGGTACAAAAAGAGTAGTAACCAGAAAATAAAGTTAGCATTAAGACATCTGAGTAACTGAAGTGCTCCTTTTTTAACTCCCTTCAAATTGGCACTCATGTGAAGGAGTTGCCAAGGTATGTATTTATAACCCACAATTGTATATACACAATTTGCATATTTGACAATTTTGCTGGCAAATTATGTTTTTTAGTTTCATAGTTACATAGCTGAAAAGAGACTTGCGTCCATCAAGTTCAGCCTTCCTCACATTTGTTTTTTGCTGTTGATCCAAAAGAAGGCAAAAAAACCCAGTTTGAAGCACAATTTTGCAACAAGCTAGCAAGCAAGCTAGCTGGCAGTCAGATTTATCCATGGATCAAGCAGTTATTACCCTACATTCAAAGATGATATCCTTGAATATTCTGTTTTTGCAAGTATGCATCTAGTAGCTGTTTGAACATCTGTATGGACTCTGATAAAACAACTTCTTCAGGCAGAGAATTCCACATCCTGATTGTTCTTACAGTAAAAAAAAAACTCTCATTTGCCTTAGACAAAATCTTTTTTCTTCTAGTCTAAACGCATGGCCTCGTGTCCTATGTAAAGTCCGGTTTGTGAATATATTTCCACAAAATGGTTTGTATTGGCCCCGAATATATTTGTATAATGTTATCATATCCCCTCTCAGGCGACATTTTTCTAAACTAAATAGGTTTAAATTTAACCTTTCTTCATAGCTGATATGTTCCATTCCTTTTATTAATTTTGTAGCCCGTCTCTGCACTTTTTCTAGTGCCATAATATCCTTCTTTAGAACAGGTGCCCAAAATTGCACAGCATATTCAATATGTGAACTTTATAAATTTCCAGCGCAGTGGCACTAACTGCCGTCAGGCTCTGAACTTCAGAAAGATCAACACTGACCACCTCTATTCAGCTCTGTGCAGTTAAAACAGGAAGGAAGAAGCTCAAGCATTTGCTGATGGAAAGGGGAGCAAAGGCACAGGCTAAAACCTCTCAGATTTTTTTACTAACTGCATATATCTGCAGCCTGTGCTCTGTTACTCGTCCCTTTATTTCTCAATTATACTTTGGGAGGCGGAGGAGATCTGCAGCATCTCTGGTCACACTGTGAGCTGGCTGTTCAGGATGTAGTGGAGGGATGGGGCCAGAAAATCTCCCTAGTTCATAAGAGCTGCTGTACACAGTAAAAGGGATGAAAGGACAGCCCACCATCCCATCAAGAGGAGAAACTAATTGGAGGGTGGCTGAGGTTGATGTGCAGGTCAGAGCTGGCTGAAGGCAGAGGGTACAGTGTAAGTGTGCTGTGACTCCTTGCAGCAAGCAGCACATTATTCGTTGTTCTATTACTATGTCAAGCGGCACATCAGATCAACTAGTTAATGCAGTTACACTTGGTAGCTAGTCTGCAATACGTGATAGTAATTATCACAAATCTTTAAACTAACTTACATTCATAATTAGCAGTGGATTGGCCTTTTACACCGCATAGTGAAGCAATATGATAATGTTCATACTGTTATTCATAAGCATCCAACAAACCAAAATATTTATTTTTTTAGACTTTTAGTTCACAAATAATTAACAGGCAAAAAGAAAGCAGCATCCTCTCCCTCCATAGTCTCCATAGTCGGTCACTTGTAATATTGTTTCATACCTACAACACTTTTTATCACCCTGCTGCTGCTCGCCTGTCTGCGCTGCAGCGTAACTTCGGCCTTCCCGCTCACCACCTCATGAGACTATGCGAGCAGCAGCAGGCGATAGTGGAGTTTCAGCTGCAGCACGCACGGGTCAGTGGCTCTGCACCAGACTTCACTCCAATTGATCAGAGTTAAAGGATTTCAAGTGGACACATTATAATTACAGGTCCTCTAAAGAGTTCTGTATTATTTGTCGTCACTACCTTCCCGCGTCAGGAGTGGGTCATTTAAGCGTCTGCTGCCTTACTTGCATGTGGTAGCCGTTTCTCAGGGTCCCTGTATGTAATACAGAATGGTACCCTTATTCCACGTTACCCGTGGTCACCATGGTAGGTGCAGAAACTGGCATCGAAAGTTGATATGGATGACATCCGAATGCAAAGTTGCCGTCACAGGGATGTGTGATTGGTAGTGATGTACCGAACAGTTCGCTGGCGAGCGGTTCCCGGCGAACATAGCATGTTCGCGTTTTCGCCACGGCGGGCGAACATATGCGCGGTTCGACCCGCCCCCTATTCGTCATCATTGAGTAAACTTTGACCCTGTACCTCACAGTCAGCAGACACATTCCAGCCAATTAGCAGCACACCCTCCCTAGCAGACCCTCCCACCTCCTGGAAGGCATCCATTTTAGATTCATTCTCAAGCCGCATGCTTAGTAAGAGGAGGGAAAGTGTAGCTGCTGTTCATAAGATAGGGAAAAGCATAGCTAGGTTAGGGATAAGGGTATGCTTTTTAAAAAAAAAAAAAAATTCTATGTAATGCAATTGCACTTAGTTGTCTGCCACTGCTGCCAGCTTCTGTGTCAGGCTCACAGTGCATACTGTGCCCATTTCCCCAGTCAGTGCCACCACTTGCATCTGGTGTCACAATAGCTTGGATTTAAAAACAAAAAACTTTTTTCACTGTTATAGATTGAATAGCAGTCAGTTGTCTGCCACTGCTGCCAGCTTCTGTGTCAGGCTCACAGTGCATACTGTGCCCATTTCCCCAGTCAGTGCTACCACTTAGATCTGGTGACACAAAGCTTGGATTTAAAAACAAAAAACTTTTTTCACTGTTATAGATTGAATAGCAGTCAGTGTCCTTAAAGCGGGTGTGTTACGCTAACAGTGGATACGGTGACCAGTGCCACGAAGTAGATCGGGTGACACAAAGCTTTATTCAAAAACAAAAAACACTTTTTTCACTGTTATAGATTGAATAGCAGTCAGTGTCCTTAAAGCGGGTGTGTTACGCTAACAGTGGATACGGTGACCATTGCCACCACTCAGATCTGGTGACACAAAGCTTGGATTTAAAAACAAAAACACTTTTTCACTGTTATAGATTGAAT